GGCCACCTCCACGCCCCAGCCTCTCCTCCACTGCCAGCTGCTTGGCAGTGCCACCCCTGCCCCGGGTGGCACGGCCATCGTGGTGCCCACCGCTTCCCGGCACTGACCTCTCGCGCCTTCTTGCTCTGGGGGCTGAAGCAGCCCACCAGCTCCCCCGTCACCATGCCGCTGTTGTTCCTCCTGTGGCCTTCCAGGCGCTGGAGGGAGGACGGGGGCATTTCGTCGTACAGGCGGTAGGAGAGGTTGCGCAGGACGCAGACGGCGTTCTCCACGCTCTGGGTGGGGGAAACGGGATGGAGGAGAGGGTGTCAGTCCTTGGGCCGCCTGCCAGGGCACCTCCAGCTGGCACGTCCCCTGGGGCGCCACCCCATGGGAGCTCCGTGGCCAGGGCCACCTCCATGACACCAGCCCAGTAAGCCCAGATGGAGCCAGACTGGTTTTCCCACCGTCACCGTCACGTCGAGGCGTGCCTTTACGCCCCGATGGCCGGGCGGCCACCGGAAGGGAGGGAGCAGCTCCCCGTTTGGGGGCACCCAAGCCCTCCCAGCCCTCAGCTCCCGGGGCTCACCTTGTCCTCCGACTTGCCCACTTCCAGGGAGCTGTTCACATAGTGGATCATGGAGTCCACCAGCCCGTGGCACTCACGCATCTTCTGCCGAGTCTGCTGGCTGGCCGAGCTGAGATTCCTGCGTGGAGAATGTGGGGCCATCACGGTGAGAAGGGGGCTTCCCCAGGGCCACCCCTGGGCACCGGCGTGGGGAGGGCAGGTAATGCCTCTCCCCCGGGGCTCACCAGGGTTTGCCTCCATGCAAGGGACGAGGAGGACCCCAGAAACGAGCCCTGGGGACCCTGCTGCCCGTGCATACAGCCCAGAGGTGGCCCTTCCTCCACCCGACACTTTGCCCGCAGTGGGAGGACTGGGGCCGGCCCCGAGCAGGTACCTGAGGAAGCCCGTGGAGTTGTAGAAGATCTCTGCCTCTGAGGGGTTCTGCTGGATGACACCCGAGCCCCCCAGTCCGGAGAGGGGGACCAGGACCAGGTCCGTGAGCTGCTCCAGCGTATCCCGGGCCAGGCGATCCTTCAGGTTGTCACTGGAGGAGAGATTCCACAGGATCCCTGCGCGGAACGGGATCCTCAGTCCCAGTCGAGGCGAGAGAGCACGTCCGTCCACCCCAACTCACCTCCCCGAGGGGGACTCGTGCCGACCACCCGCAGCCAGGAGCAACCATGGGACAGGGTGGGCAGCACTGATGCAAAGAGGTCCTCCCCATGAAGTACCATCCCAGATTTACTCCTGGGGTGGGGGGCACCACGTGCCGCCCCCAGGGGAGGAGGACCCCTGCCCGCTCCCGCCATCGCCTCCAACCTGTGACGTTCTTGCGGAGCTCGTCATCGGGCTCCCGCAGCGTCCTCATGAGCTCGTAGATGCCGTTCTCCTCCACCAGCGCCAGCTTGTTCTCGGCGTTGTCGTAGATGAGGTTGCGCATGGCGCCCGTGGCATGGCGCTGCACCTCCTGGTTGGGGCTGTTGAACAGCTTCACCAGCTTGGGCATGGCCTGGAGGCTGCGGGCCTGGGAGGGGAGATCCCGCACGGGTTGAGACGCCCAGCTGCTCTCCCATTCAGCTGGGGCTCCCTCCACCCACCCTGGGGTGCCCCACCATGGCAGAAGGGCTGGGGCTCCCTCCACCACCCCCTGGGGTGCCTCACCATGGCAGAGGGGCTGGGGGCGGGCCCCTCTTTTTTTGGGCTCCCTCCCCCCGCCCTGGGGTGCCCCACCATGGCAGAGGGGCTGGGGACGGCCCCTTCCCGTTTGGCTGGGGCTCCCTCCACCCGCCCTGCGGTGCCCCACCACAGCAGAGGAGCTGGGGCTCCCTCCACCACCACTTGGGGTGCCCCACCATGGCAGAGGGGCTGGGGACGGCCCCTTCCCCTTCGGCCCCGGGGTGCTCACCTGCTTCTTGGCGTTGCTGTCGCTGTAGCACTTGTGCTGGAGGTAGGCAGCCCCCAGGACCTGCAGGTTGGGGTCGCTGGCTATCAGGTATTTCACTGCGGAGGGCAGGTCGATGTCGTCAAACCTGGAAGGCACCGGCAGGTGAGGAAGACCCCGATCAGAGCATCTCCCAGGGGTCCTCCACCTCTGTGCCCCACCACCTCCTGCCTCGCAGAGGGGGCGTGTCGCCCCATCTCCCTCCCCACCACATTCCCAGAGCCCGGGACTCCAGACCTGGCTGGATGAGCACCTTCCTACCTTCACGTCTCAGGATGCGTCCATGAGAGGAGCTAAGGAAGCGTGCAGGACACACTTGAAGGTCAGCCCATGCCATGGTCCATCACTATGGGCCAAATCATGCCCACCATCCCTCCTCCCGCTCCCCCTCACAGCAAGGTGAGGCCAGGCAAGAGGTGGAGGTGGTTGCCCTCAGGTGGGGACAAGGACTCAACCGGCCCTGTTGGCACTCACCCCCCCGACTGGTGGCTGAGCAGCGTGCTGTGCCCGTTGTACACCTCCATGGCGCGCTGGTCCTGGAGGTGGTGGTGGTGGCTGGACTCGGCCAGGCTGCGCACGGAGGGCGCGCGGGAGCTGTGCTCCACCAGCCCCATGTACGAGCTCCCGGTGCCCGCCTGCGAGGCCGCCTGGATG